GTGAGCAGGGGGAAGAGGAGGGGGAGGGGTCTCATTTGGTGGGTGCCAAGCTCCGAGCTTCCCCTCCACTTGCTCTGAGGTGGCAGAGGTAGCGGAGTCCGTTCTTGGGAGGCAGCTCTCCTCTCTCCTGGCTGCCCACAAGCCTTCAGTTTCACCTCCGTGGCTCAGCTGCCTTTCGGAAGGGCCTGTCCTCCTACTCCTGCCCCCCAAGGCCTTTCCAGGAATCTAGCAGACACCCTAAGCTGCACGCTTGTTAGGCGGTTCCTTATCCGTTCCGTTGGCTCAGCTCCACTCTCCCTGCCAAGTGCAAGGAAGGTGGCTCCCCTGATAAGAGGGAGGTCTCTTCGGGCAGGAGAGCTGATATAATACGCTTCTTCTCTCCCTCTCCGGCTTTTGTCACAATCAAATCCGAAATAAAAGCGTTAAAAGCTTTTTTCCGATCTCTGTTCAGCTCAGAGGAGTCCATACGCCATCTTGTTTCGGCAAATAAACGAGTAATGGGGTTTATTTTAAAATGGCCGGTGCCTAATGGCATTTAAAAAATACGATTCCCTGAACCGGCCTCTTAGGCTTAATTTTGGCAAGTGTGCCACGTTTTAAGTGTGGTTTGGGGCTGGCGGGGGGGGGGGGGGAGGTGCGGAAAAAGTGGCAGGAAACCCAGGCCCGCCGCCCTTAATCGCTGGGGGGGGGGGGGGGCAGCGGGGGGGGGGGGGAAGACAAGATGGACATCTCCCTCCTTTTCTAGTTTGCAGGGAAGTGGTTCCTGGTGGGGGTGGCCTCTGATTGCCTTTACCTGCGTGAAAGTGGCTACCAGGTGGAGGCCACCAGCGTGGTTGTGTCGGTGAGGGACAGGGACTCGCTGCACTTTAGCACCTTCAGGCCTCTGTGAGTCTTTTGGGGGACCCTGCCTGCACTCAGGACGGGGCACCTGGGGTGGGGGTGGGGGGGGGCTCAGCCTGACTACGTTTCCAAGAGGGGCCTCGCTAGTACACCGTCAGGGAGGAGGAGAGGGGCCAATTCAGACTTGCAGGAATCTGTCTGCAACGGTCCCGACCGACGGACGTGGGTCATTTTGGGGCGGGATACAGTCCTTTTGTCCGTCTGTCTGCCCAGCCTCGGTGGGCTGACTGGCGCCTTCGTCTCTGCAGGGAGGGGATTTGCTGGAACATCAAGCAGAGCTATTTTGCTGGCAAGGCCCCAGGCCGCTTCCTCCTGAAAGGTGAGAGGAGGCCGGAGTGGAGAAGAGCCAGCTGCCCTCTGGCCCTTGCAGGAACAAACCGTCCCTTCATCTCTCCGTGGTTCCCCCCCCCACCCCCCCACCCTCCAGGCCGCGCTGTTCCCGTGGACGTGGTGGTGGGAGAGACGGACTATAGCAGCTACGCCATCCTCTACTTCCAAAAGAACCGCAAGATCTCAGCCAAGCTTTACGGTGGGAATGAAAGCCGTGGCCTTCAGTCGGCGGGCTTTTCTGACCCGGGGAGGGGCTGAGGGGTCCCGCTGGGTGTTGTGTTACAAGGGGGCTACCTTGCCGCCCCTCTGGGACGGCCTCCCCCCTTTCAGGCTGGGCAAACCCTGAGGAGGGGCCTTCGCTCCTCGAGGCGTCCCGGAGCCACCCTTTCCTGTAGGGAAACTGGCCAGCCGAGCTCTGGAGGGGGGGGGTCCCCTAATGTCCCTCTCTTTTCATGGACTCTCCGGAAGGACGGACGGCACAAGTGGAAAATAGCATCCTGAAGAAGTTCGAAGCTGCCATGACAGCCCTGGGCATCAGCGACGAACTCATCTTCTATTACCCCGTCTACGGTGCGCAGCTGCTGGGAGGGGGGAGGAGGCGAGATTTACGCTTCCCGGGGCCGTGCAAGAGCCAGGAAGCTCCTGGACGGCGGCAGCCCCCCTTCCCCTGGTTGCCAAGCGTCCATGCTGGGCCGAGCAAAGGGGCTCCCGTCGGTTGCAGGCCGTCGAAAGCCACTTCGTGGAGGGGCAGGGCAGGGCCCGGGGGAAGCCGGGGTTGGGCCAAGACTTGGGAGGGGAGGACGAACCCACCAGAATTATTTAATCTGACTTTCTCCTTCCATCCGGACTCTTTTTTTTTTTTTCCCAGGGTTTTGCAGCTCGGCCGACCAATTCCACATCCTTGACGGTGAGTTGGCGGCTTCGGCGTCTCCTTGGCCTGAATATCCACCCCAGGCAGGCTTGGCTTCCTCCACTGGCCGATGGGCGACCAGTACAAAGCCCTGCCTTGGGGGGGTGGGGGCTTACGGGGGTGGTGGTGTCTCCAGGAGGGTATAAGCAGTGGCCTTTCAGGGGTGGATCCTCCGAAACCAACACACACACACACACACACCCCTGTATTGTCTCTTCCTGCTTTTCCAGAAACGAAATTCACAGGATAGCAGGAATCAAGGAGCGATCCTTGCCTCCGACAGCCTCTGCGGACACAAAGGAGAGCTGAAATCGCCCAAGTTTTCCCTTGCATTTGTTCCCGTGAAAATAAAACCGAGAAAACCCAGTTTGACATTGTTGATGTTTGGGGTGGGGGGCAAAAAAAAAAA